TCATGCCCGTTGCTGGTTGGCTAACTAGCAACAGGGTCTTGCCAGCCAATAGGAACTGTGTGATTACAAGCCAGGGGAATCCCATAAAAGAGGGCTCCCCTGGCCCAGAGAGCCAGTCCGGATTTACTTGATGCCTTGCCAATAAACCGAGAGCTGACTGTCACTCGACTCGTGTCTTACTGCCTGCGCGATCTAACACGGAGGATACTAAAAAGCTCTGTATTTGTGCAGGCACACACTTACTTCAGTGTATACAGTTTGTGTGTATTGATTCTAATGCACCACCTGATGACAATTTGCATTCTATCAAAATAACACAGTCTTGCCCATCCTGGTGGCTTATGGCTCCTATGATCCTTGGGCTGGGGAGGATGGACATTGCAGTCAGCAGAACTGGGAGTATCTATTTGGGAGTGTCTGAGACAACCCAAGAACAGCTACAACAATATCATGCCTATTCAGGAATATCTCCTAGGGCAGCTCAGAAATGATCCTGGGAATTAGAGACATATGTTTGCCCTACTGATTTTATGTTTGCAAACGCAGGAAGGTCTTCAGGAAAGGCTGTGGCCATTTCCAGCATGCCTGCCCCATTGCTGTCCTTCAGTGCATGGGATTTAATCCTACATTGATTTGCAGTTCCATCCAGCTTCTCTTCTGTATTGTGGTTCTTTCCATTACCTATGTGCACAGATGCAACCAGAGGAGGAGGAAACACACTGAAGTGCTTGTAATCTTCCTTCACCCGCCCACACATATTGGAGGCTGTTTTCAAACAAATGCACACGCACGCACAAACACAGACACAGAGGTGCATTTGCTGAATGGCTCCCCTGATGCCAACACTCTCCCTTGTCTGTAATTGCACCCTAGAGAGCCAGGGATAAAAATATTTCCTTGGCTGAGAGAATATGTTTATTCTCATTCTCTCTCTCTCTTTTGCTCTCTGTCTCTCGCTCTCTCTTTAGGTCCTCCCTTCTGGGGTCTTGTGAATTCAGCATGGAGCCTCTGTGCCATTGGCAAACGCCAGTCTCCTATGGATGTCAACACAAGTCAAATGATTTTTGATCCCTTCCTCCCTCCACTTCGGCTCAGCATTGGTGGAAAAAAGGTGCGTCTGGATGCACACACTGGTCTCTAAGGTTGATGGAAAATAATTCCCAGCTCAGCCTTCCTTGTCTGAGGCTGGAATCGGGCATTGCCTCTCCAAGCCTTCTGGAGGGCACCAGGTTGGGGAAGGCTATCCTCGCAAGCATCGGTGACCAGGAGTGCAGCTATTATCATAAAAAAAAATGAGTTGCACTAATGGCTAATTTCTGGAGCACCTAAGTGCAAGTAACTTCACTCAGCATTGAAACATTTGGATTCATTCCAGATTTTCTCATATTACCGTACTTGGTGACAAAATCTAAGATCGACCCTTTTGTTTCACCCTCCTCAGCTAAATCCCCAAAGTGGTGAGCAAAGAGGAATCCGCTAAAGTCCTGGGAATATCCGCTCCTTCCCAATCCTCCATGGACTCAGAATTCCTAAAGATGCTTTGTTTGCTCCAAGGTTCATTTCTTTGGAAATAGGCCATGGGGAAAGAATGGCATTCCAGCAATAATGGGGAAATACAGGTAGTCCTCGAGTTACAACCCTATTGAGACCAGAATTTTGATTGCTAAGCAAGGCGGTTGTTAAGTGAGTCATGCCCAATTTTAGAATCTTTTTTTGCCCTGATCGTTCAGCAAATCAATGCAGTTAAGTGAATCCTGTGGTTGTTAAGTGAATCTGGCTTCCCAGAGTCATTAGCTTTGCTTGTTGGAAACCAGCTGGGAAGGATATAAACGACAATCACAGGACCCCAGAATGCTACAACAGTTGTAAATACATGCCTGTTGCCAAGCGCCTGAATTTTGATCACATGATTCTGGGGATATTGCAACAGTCATAAGTGTGAGGACTGGTCATAAGTCATTTTTTAAAATGCCATTGTAACTTTGAATAGTCGCTAAACAAATGGTTGTAAGTCGAGGACTATTTGTATATACTGCCATTCCTTCAGGAGCTGAAGGCAGTATATGTAACACTCCCTCCTATTTTTCCCCACAATCACAATCCTATAAGGCAGGTTGGCTGAGAGAGAGGGACTGGCCCCAAATCCCCCAGGGACCTTGTATGGCTGAAGTGGAACTGGAAGCCATCTCCAAGCCCAACATTTTTGATATAATATTTTATGTAATACAGCAACTGCAGTTTGTTAAACCCAAGTTTAGAGTTTGGAGAGTTTTGTAAGTCCAATTATCCCAGTTTTCTTTCCCAGTCAGGGAAAGGAATTACATCTTCTCTGCCCTCAGCAGAATGCTGCGGATTGTTTTTGTCACATCTCAAGGGGCACTGGATCTCTTCAGAGGTCATGGTGAACCATAAACTGGGTTTGTTTAGCAGCAAAATTATCCTAGATACCCATTTTATGATCTGTAACCAAACAAAGTTCAGCTGTCAACACAAACATCATAGAAGGAAGTTGATCTGTAGAGAAAGTGCTACTTTACATGTCCCTGACCATGAAACAGATTGCAAACAGGTTGCAAGGAGCATAGCCTTCAACAGTGTGGAAGGAGTTGATTTTTAATAGATGACATCATCATCAGTAATAGTAATATTATTGTAGATCAGGGGTGTCAAACTGGCGGCCCACAGGCCAGATGCGTCACGCGTAGGCCACGCCCACCCCAGCTCTGCAAAGGCAAAAAATGTCACGATACGTCATGATACATCACGTGACGTGATTGAGTTTGTCACCTGTATTGTAGATCCACTCAGCTTCCAACAGGAACTTAGTTTCTCCCCCCCCCCCCCCGCAAACAGTCCTATGGAGGGCAGTTCAGTCATGTCCCTCATTAATGTCCGGAATATGGAGGAGATGAGGGTATTATATAAGTAAGTCCTCTCTTCAGTCCACAGCTTGGCAGGGCTCCATGGTCATCAAGGAACTCTGGGAGGTGAAGCAGCAGAAATGATGGCTGAAGTGCAGGTGTCAGAAAACAAGAAAATGAGGTTGTGTTCAGGGCCCCACATATGGTGATAAAAGTGGCACAACCAATTGGCTGCAGGACAAGAGTTACACTAATATCGAAGAAGTAGATGAACAGAATTAGTAAAGAAAGGATGCCAAAGGAGGGACAAAATAAAATGTGAAGGACAAAAATTAAAATAATTTTTTTAATTATTTTAAATAATTAAATTGAATTGTTGAATTGTCCTCAGTGAATTGTCCTGTGGTGAGTTGGCCGTGGTGAATTGGCTATGCCTTAAACCGGCCCTCTTTAAGGCAACCTTTTGGGGGCACGATAGGACTGAAGATGCCCTCTGGGAGCGCACGACAAGTATGCTAAACATTTCACTGACAAAGTCAGCTCATGTTCATTCCATGTTGGTAGAAGGCAGTAGGACATGGTCTTCAAGTTGATCTGGAAGTCTTCAACTTTGCAGATTGATGCTGGAGACTGACCAGCTGCCAGCTGACCAGCTGCCTGGCTTCTTCAGACTGTTAGAGGTAGGATAAACAGTTGGATTTGGAAGATGATTAATGCCCCTGAGGAAGAGAGTGATGCCTGCTTCCTTGAAATAGGTGATGATGACGATGCTCCCTTTTGATCCAGCACTGGTAAAGAACTTCTCTCCAATCATTGACCTTCCCTTTTTAGGAAAAGCTTTGCAGAATATGCTGGGATGGCAACTGGAAAATTATCTGAATACCCTGTAAGTGATACTGTGTGGAAACAGCCTCTATTGTCACTATTGTCTCCTCCTGCAGTTTAGTGGAACCATGTACAACACAGGCCGACATGTCTCTTTTCGTCCAGATCCAGTACAGCTGGTTAATGTTTCAGGAGGACCTCTGCCATACAGTCACCGGCTCCAAGAAATACGGCTGCATTTTGGCAGTGAAGATGGATTTGGCTCAGAACACCAGATAGATGGTGACAGCTTTTCTGCTGAGGTGAATACAACTCTTGTTCAAACAGGAGCAACACCACTGAAGGGGTCCTCTGCAGATTTACTTAAAGTTTTGTCAGGGGTGTTGATGGGAGGGGGAGGGTGGTCAAAATCCGCAAGATGGCAAGGGTGGCAAGAAAAGAGAGAGGGAGAAAGAGGGAGGGAGGGAGAATCCTAGAAAAGTCATTTTTTTACATTGGCCACTCTAGGACTTTGCCTCTCTGTTGGGAGCAAGGAGAGAGGGTAGCTTACCTCCTGATAGTCCTCTTTTTTGTTTGCGTGACTCAGCTGAGGAAGAGTTAGTTTAGTTTGAAACAACCTCAGGGCTTTCTTGGGCTAAAATTAATCTCCCGTAGCTCTGCAGTTGACTGCTTTGTAGTGTTCAGCTACCCATTAGCCTCAGTCATTTAAATAGGTTATGCAAACAAGGCCAGTGTATATATACTGGTACTGAGGTAAAAATTAGTTTTGCTTGTATTAGAATGCAAATTTATCTCACAATTTTGGGTAAGCAGTACCACAAATCAACTCAGAATTATTCTTGGGCTTAGCTGCATGTGGTTTGTTTCCTCTTGCTCCTTGTCTTCATCTAATGAGAACTTTTAATACCAGACCATGATAGTACAAAAATGCACCACATTAGGAAGAATTGTTTGCAATAACTGTATTAAGCAAAACTAAACAAAAACAAATGTTTCAAGAAGTATGCTTTAAGAAGAGATATAAATTTTTGACAGTTCTGAAGCTTATTGAATTGAATTTGACAGCCAAACAAAGTAAATAAATATTTACTTATTTATAAATATTTATTTATTAAACAAATTTATATGGCCAGCCAGCTCATACACAGGTGACTTTGGGTGGTTCACAACATTAAAAATTCACAACATAAAAAACCACAAAACCCCACCCCACCCATGTCATCAACAACACAATCAAATCAACCTCTTGATGGGCTATATCTCCATTTGTGGTGCCCAGACCCACTGACAAAACCACAACTTCAGGAACTTTTGGAAAAGCCAATCATACTTCGGGGAGAATGATGTTCCCTAGAGAAGCCCACCACCAAGAAGGCCCTTTTTCGTGGTTTCACCAGATGTACATCTCTGCTAGATGGGGCCTATAACATACCCTGACTTTCCATCCTGGTGAGCTGGGTGGATGTAATAGGGAAGAACCTGGCTCCAAAGCCATTTGTAACATTACTTTTACTAAGTAAAACTGAATTGGAAAGAATCACTTTTTCCTTTGTCCTTTCCCTTAGGTGCAGGTGATCCACTACAACCAAGAACTCTACCCCAATATTTCCGAGGCTTCACACAATCCCAATGGTTTAGCTGTCATTTCTATCTTTGCCAATGTAAGTGCATTGCTGCAACTGCAAGGGGGCATCAGGTGGGGCTTGAATAGGCAAGGGGAGATGGGAATTTAGGCAGAAAGGAACAATACCTTGGATGGATTTCCACTTGCAGATTGGACCAAATCCTAACTCTTTCCTGACCAGGCTGTTAAACCGAGAAACGATTACCCGGATCTCCTATAAGAGTAAGTGGAGCAAGTATGAAAGATGTGGATCATATAAGGAAGCTGTTTGCAAAAGTGGCTGAGAGTTGAAAACTGAAATTTTTAAGACTGGAGGGGACTAAGTGGGAATTAATACACACAAGGATTCCTCTTGGAATATTGATGTTAGCAAAGCTTGACTGTATCCAGTAGCTTCTTTACTTCAACAAAAGATTTAGGGAGGAAAAGACTGTTGAATATGACAGCATGAAGTTTTTGAATACATGATTCTGTGGCCAAATAGTAGAACTGCTATTTTTGATGGGCTATTCATTAGTATTTATTTATTTAGCATATGGCATATCATACATGGACTTGCAGAATATATTAACATTTCACCTAGATTAAAAAAACAATTAAATATGAATGTTAAAAAGATCTATATTCAGATACCAAGGTCTAACCAATTCATTAGTTTCTTGGAAGTATCAGAAAGATCACAACCAGTAACTAAATGGATTTTATTAGCAGAATTCTGCCCACCTTCTTAAAATAGCCATCCCTATTTCAACAGATGATGCTTATCTTCTACACGATCTGAGCCTTGAAGACCTTTATCCAGAGACATTTGGTTTTATCACTTACCAAGGATCCATGTCAACCCCTCCATGCTATGAAACAGTCACCTGGATTCTCATTGACCGTCCCATCAATATTACCTCCGTTCAGGTAGGTTCCTAGGACCCATCAATGCTGGACAAATTCTCTTTAACCTCCCTTTTGTCCTTTCCCTGCCTTCGCCTGCTCTCTTTGACTCCATTGCTGTCCTGGTGTCCTCCACCATTCCTGAGCACTTGTTTCCCATCCCTCTGTTCTTCAGATTCACTCCCTTCGTCTTCTCAGTCAGAACCTCCCTTCTCAAATTTTCCGGAGCATGAGTGACAACTCGAGACCTCTCCAGCCCCTTTTACACCGAAGCCTTCGGGGCAACCGAGAGCCACGGCGCCCCACTAAACATTGCAAAGGAGCCTCCTACAGGCTACATGGTATGCGACTCAAGAATCCCATATTAAGAGCTCTTCCACTACACTCCCATTCCACTTCTTTATTTTGAGTCTCTCTTCTTTTTTAAGTTTTCCTAAAGTTGCTCAAACTGGAAGATCTTTTTCCTTTTTACCCTCTCAAGTCCCTTATTTGGTTGAGTGGTAGGGGCTAATGCAAAATAAGTTGGGAGTCTCAGGGCTGAGCAATCTGAGTTCCCCCTAGCTTTCATACAAATATAGCTACTGTATTTGGGCTGCAAATATTCAGATGGCAGGAAAAAGATGCAAAAACTCTTGACACTTTAGTACTACCTAGTGGTCATCCATATGTTTGCAGACCAGATCTTGAGCTATAACACTATGGGATGTGCCCTGAAACATATAAGCTAGACTGCTGCTCTCAGATGTCACCATGTCACCATCAATGTTGTCACCTTGAACAGACAATCCAATTGGCTTATAAATGCAACTGGGAAGGGGGGAGTCTATTTTGTCCTTCAACTGGGGAAGTAAAATGGTTTATCCCAGTCGGAAGATAAGAACAATTGGGAAATAATTTGTGGGCCCCTGTAGTATAGAATGTTTTGATGACTCTGCCCCATCAAGAACTAAACCTGTCAGATTTCAAAAGCCTTTGTGAGACCAGTGACAACAGGCCTAGGACTTATCCACCTGTCCTTCTTGCCTAGTGCAAAGACCAACCACTAGAATATGATATTTGTTTGTTTGTTTATAATATTTATTGGCCGCCCATCTTACCATAGGGTAACTCTGGCGGAATGGGGCAACTTGTCACAGTCAACTCGCTAGGAGACAATTCGCATTGGTCAACTCACCACAGGACAACTCGCTGCGGGACAATTCAACAGTTCAATTTAATTATTTAAAACAGTTAAAACATATTTTGATTTTTGTCATTTACATTTTGTCCCTTTTTGGCATTCTTTAATGATTCTGTTCCACTATTTCTTTGATATTAGCATAATAGTGAGTTGTCCCATGGCGAGTTGGCCAAAGCAAGTTGGCTGTGGTGAATGAATTGTCATAGATCCAACTCTGGGAGGCTTAAGAGTTACATATAAGCTAAAACATAAAAAGTTAAAAACAAACATTAAAACAAAGACACATGGGGAGGGTGGGGGCGGAGGGGAGGGAGGGGGGATCTGTTACTACTCAATCAACCACCTCTATTGTTCCCCCACTGGGGCCCCAAATTGTCTGGCAGAGTCAGGTCTTTAAGCCCTTATGAAAAGATAGGAGGGTTGGGGCCAACCTCACATTGGAGGGCAAGATGTTCCAGAGGGCAGGAGCAACAGCAGAGAAGGCCCTCCTCCTGGACCCCGCCAGCCGGAATATTCAGGCTGTCGGGATCCGCAGCAGGCTTCCTCTGCTGGCACAAGTGGTATGGGGTAATCCCAGTGGGGTGAGACGGTTCTACAAGTAGCCTGGACCCATGTCATGAAGGGCTATCCTCTAGCCATCCTGAGCCCACCAGGAAGGCCTCACCCACGTATCAAAGCAGCATTCTCCAACCCCTGTTGGCACAAAAAGGGGGGGGGACGAGGGACAACCAGTCATCTGCCTTCTGTACTTCATTTCATTCTAGGCCAACACACACCTAGTGTGTGCTGTGGGAAGCACACCTCCACATCTCCAGTCATTAATCATTATCCTCCATGTCCATTTCATCCTAGGCTGCTATACTGGGAAAATTATGAACCATTTGGAGATTTTTATCTATTTTTCTTTAACTTATTCACTTTGTTTCTTTTTAAATCAGCCTTATGAAAATGACCTAAAGTGGGGAAATGGCAGAGAGACGGGAGGCTGGTAGGAGAACAGGAGAGGCTGCAAGTAGGCTGTTTGTGTGCATATATGGTTGCACACATGGGAGTGCAAGCACAAGAAAACAAACAAAACTTTAAACTTCTTGACAACTGTAAAGAAAAGGAAGAAAGGCCAGTTCCCACCACCACCCCCTTCCTTATCCCAGTATGGATGTACCTCCCATTTTTCCTGGACTAAAAGACCATGATGTTTTTGGCTTGCTGAAGCTTTCCTGTCATGCTTATAAGCACTAGAAGAAGGCACCTCTTTGGATCAAGTGCAGGGGCTTGAGTGAAATTACCCCAAGTTAGTCAGTTTTCCTTTCTTATTTAAGCCAGAGCAAGAAGAGTGAAAGGGATGAACCAGTGAGATGTTCATTTCAGGAAGGAACTCCTGCTTTGTGATACAAGTAGTCCTCGAACCTACAACCGCAACTGAGCCCAACATTTCTGTTGCTAAGTGAGACATTTGTTAAGTGAACTTTGCCCCACTTTATGACCTTCCTTGCCACAGTTGTTAAGCGAATCACTGTAGTTGTCAAGTTAGTGACACGGCTGTTAAGTGAATCTGGCTTCCCCATTGACTTTCTTGTCAGAGGGTCGCAAAAGGGGATCACGTGACCCTGGGACACTGCAAATTTTCATAAATACGAGTCAGTTGCCAAGCGTCTGAATTTTGATCACGTGACCATGGGGATGCTGCAACAGGTATGTGTGAAAAGCAGTCGTAAGTCATTTTTTTTTCCAGTGCTGTTGTAACTTTGAACGGTCACTAAACAAACTGTGGTAAGTTGAGGACTGCCTGTATGCTCTGAAGGACACAGCTTTGGAAAAGTCAAACTTATCAACAAATAAATCAGAGTCAGCTTTTTCTTTGTTATTATTAGTCTGGGTTCATACAGCCTGTTAAGTCTTTAGCCTTAGTTAACAAAACACAGAGTTGAGTTGATTTGATAAAGAAGCTCATTTAGAATATTGTGTTGTCCTGGTCACCCAATACATAAAGATAGTGTTTCTCAACCTTAGTAACCTGAAGATCTATGGACTTCAACTCCCAGAATTCCCCAGCCAGCTATGCTGGCTACGAAATTCTGGGAGTTGAAGTCCACACATCTTTAAGTTGCTAAAGTTGAGAACCGCTGCACTGGCTGGGTTTTCACAGCTCACTGCACTGCAAACAATCCAAGTCTTTTTAGACTATTGAAGTGTTTTTCTGAATAACACACAAATCAGTCGTTCTTCCAGCCTCTTCAGAGGTCAGAACAGTTAGCTTGAGGATTGGGGCGGGGCTGCCCCACAAAGAACTACCACTGGGCTGGGTTTTGGTTTCCTAAAGTAAATAAAAGACCCTCCTGCTAATCTTCTGAAAAATGATTCTCAAAATCTGCTTGCTTCCGAATGTCACCACTGTATGCACAGATTCACACTTCTGCAAGGCTTCATAAACCTGTGAAATGGGAGAGAGGGGGGGGCACAGCAGAGGGGTAAAGGCCCAAATGCATTTAATGTAATCTTTGTAATAGAAATTATACACCTACAAAATTAAAAGGAGTGACTTAGGTCACTCAGTCTGTTATGTCCTGGGCCAGCAGGCACAGGCTGCAGCGATTGGCCCGGGCAGACCATGTGGATGCCCGGGACAAGAAAGGCTGCTCCCAGCCTTTGCAATGATTGGCCAGCAAGGTATTCTGGGCCAGCAGGCACAGGCTGCAGCGATTGGCCCGGGCAGACCATGTGGATGCCCGGGACAAGAAAGGCTGCTCCCAGCCTTTGCAATGATTGGCCAGCAAGGTATTGTGCAGAGGGGCTATAAAAGGGGGCCGCACCATTTTAAAATCTGTTCTGTTGGTGTTGCAATAAAGGAGAACTGTTGGAACTCGTTGCTTCATCTCAATGCCTCTTTTCCTGAAACAGAACATTGGCCACGAGGATGGGATGCCTGCAAGGCAAACAGATTAAGAAGCCAAGCTGACTCACCACAGGGGGGCTTGCAGCTCGGAGACGTGTGGCTCCTGGAGATGGACTCAGCCTGCCAGCACTGAGACGCTGGAGGTAAGCTCAGAAAAGGGGGCCCCTTCTCAATCTTTGCAGCAGGAGACGTGGACGAAGTTCCTGGGCTGAAACGATGGCAAAGATAGGCCGGCTTTCAGAATTTGACACAGCTCACCCAGAACGCTGGAGCTCATACGTGGCCCGGGTAGAGAACTACCTCCGGGTGAATCAAATTCGTGAAGATGACCTCAAAGCTGCCACGCTGCTTTGTATGTGTGGGCAAGAGACCTTTGAGATTGCGGAGAATCTGGTCGCCCCAGCACCACTGGAATCAATCACCTACACAGACTTGAAGAGGATGCTTCGAGAGCATTTTGAACCCAAGCTCTCAGTGATTGCCTGGCGACACGCGTTTGAGCAGAGGGACCAGAGGCCTGGTGAGTCTGCAGCAGAGTTTGTTGCGGCTTTGCGACAAGCAGCTAGGCCCTGCGAATTCAAAGACTTGGAGAGACTGAGGGACCGGCTGGTCTGTGGCCTGCAAAGCCGGGAGTTGCAGCAGAAGCTCTTCGCGAAGGAAGGCCTCACGTTCCAAGATGCCCTGAGGGAAGTTTCAGCCGAAGAAGCAGCAGGCAGAGCTGTGAAGGCCTTGCGGCTCTCCAAGCCCCCTCAAGTTCCAGCCACCGTCCATCAAGAGGTTGCTCACGAGGAATCCGAACAGGATCCAGAATTGGAAGTGGACCGGCTGCATCAGACTCCAGGGAGAAGGCCTCACGGAGGGAAGGCCCAGCCAGCATCATCCCCTCGGTGCATCGGGTGTGGAGGCCGCCATCATCGCGCAGACTGCCGTTTTCGGTCCGCCATCTGCAGGGCCTGTGGGAGGCAAGGCCACATTGCCTCCATCTGTTTGGGTCGCCAGAAGGAACGCTACCCAGAAGAATTGCCTCAGAAAGGTACCAGGGTCCCCAGCCAGAACAGGGTGGGCTTCTGCGCGTCACGTAGGAGCGTTTTTAGAACGGGGGTCCACAGGCCACTTAGGAAGAAGCTTCACATCGACGTGAAGTTGCAAGGGGTCTCCTTGTCGATGGAGCTGGACACTGGGTCTGCTCTATCGATCATCTCCCTAGACACCTTTAACAAGGTCTGCAGCAGAAGCGGCCTACGGGTGAAACTCAGGCCGTCAAACCT